GCTGAATCGCATGGTTCAAGGGGAGCAACTTGTACGGTTGCAACAGCCAATGATCCAGCTCAAATGGGAGGGCGAAATGCTGGCGGAACCACTTCAGGGCATGGAACATGCTTGTAGCTGCTGTAGGGCCCCCGGCCGCCACGGCCTTGAAGAAAGCACTCAACTGAAGGGGTGTAGGGGCACGAACATGGAACTGATTGTCCAGCGCATAGGTCCTCCACCTTCTGAGGGCGCTCACCAGAGCAGCCGCTCGTTGAGGCGACACGCGGCTAGCCGCTGGCATAACGGTCTCCTGGAGGAGTTGGCGGCGAACGGGATCTCTCATCATGGCGCGGTCGACCCCCAATTCCGCTAAGTCGAGGAAATCTGCCACCAATAACTCAAACATCGCCTCCAGCTTGGCGTTCTTCTGCAACACCTCCTTCGCGAAAGGGTTTTGGGAGGCATCATGAAGCATAGTGGGGGCTGCCGAACCCGAGCCTGTGGAGGTCAAATGGCGGATCCTGACGCCTGAAGGTGGCACTGTGGAATCCGGGCCGGACTGGACCAGGTGAGTCGAGATGCACAACCTCCGATGATCCTCCACACGCCGTTGGGCTTTGGCACGGGTGCTGTGAGCCCGGCCTGAAGCCACCGTCCAAAAGGCCGCCACCGCGAACTCCTGGTCGGGAGGCAGAGAACCAATCTCGCTCTCCACTTCCTGCAGGAGCTCCTGGCTGCTCCCCCAAATACCAATAACATCGGTGCATGTCTGGGCGCCGACCAGGACCAACAACTCACGCAGGCCATCAGGCTTGTCTTGAAGCAGATCCTGGAGTTCCTGCTCCATTGGTTGGCCCGGCCTGAGCGCCTCACAGGGCATGGAGGATGTACTCGCGGACGGCCCGCTCGGAGATGCCAAGGTGCTCCGCGAACGTGGCAATGGGGATCGCGACCTGGGCCTCACGGAAGGGGGGAGCTCCCGCCCTTGCCCCGAAGCCTGAGAGGTGGATGGTGTCGAAGGTGTCCGGGCTGTGGGTCTCCTCGACGGCATTGTGACCAGCAGTCCACGTGATGGCGAGCTGGCTGCAGGCTCGCCCACTCTGTGCGCAGTGCCACACTGCTGACAGAGTGCGCTGGAGTCGAGCGGAGCGCTCAACAAGCAGCCCTCACACCACAATGTAGTCCAAGGCCCACAAGCCCGCGCAGAGAGCGAATCCAATCGACTCTCCGCGGGAAGGTCCAGTGGGTCCCATCGGCGGCACGGCCAAAAGAGAAAACCCCCGGACCTTCACTTGAGCCAAAATGGCATTCAAGTGAAGGTCCTAACACTTGCATGTTTCAGATCCCAAGGTGTCCCTTCCCAACCAACCATTCACCTTGGTGGATAATGCAAGAAGTCTGTAGTGCAAAGGTCCTTTTTGCTGGAAGTCAGCGCATTTTCTGCACACCAGTCCAGAATCTCGCAAAGACCATGGACGATCTCTCGGCTCTTGGCCGATCAGCACCTCGCTCTCACAGCTGCTCAAATTGTCACCCCTTCACCCCCTTCATCCTTCAGTCTGAGATAGATCATGGCTTCTGGATCTAGTGAAACAGCTATGACTCTAAATCTAAAGTCAACCTGTGTCCTTCATTCCGGACATATTCAGTACATGTTGTGACTTACTGGCAAAAACACACTTCAGATCTCTGCGCATCTGGTCTGTTCCACTGGCGGGACTTGAAATGGGACCCTACTTCATGCCGGCGCAAACAACAATTTGGCGCTGCAGCTAGGCTTGCAGGTTCACTCTGAAAACCTGTCTGACTGTAGCTGTAGCTGGTTTGCATTGGCATAGACAAGAGATGACAAGAGCATCGAATGGGGCCTTGAACATTGCTCTGTGATGTTTTGAACTTTGGACGGCCTTTTTCAACTTGACAGGGGCCACGGAAATCAAACAACTTAGAGCTGTCGTGTGTCCAAATTCTTTATCGAACATAGTCGGCCAAGATTCACAACTGTAATGAGCCCATATTGTCTGCTAGCGCTGGCATGTGTTTTTTTCAACAGGCGCCGGACTTGTATTAACTGCACCTAGCCGCAGCATGATGTACTGAAACGGAACTTTCATGTGTTTCTTCATCAGCTAACACATGCCAACACACACATAATAACATACGCACACTCTGCTTCAAGACTGCTGGCGGCTTGCAAATCCGACGCCACGTTTAATAGCAACGAATTCAAGGTCGAGCCATGTCCAACGGTGGTGCTTGGATCTATCTCCAATTTCCTTGCACCAAAAAATGCACAGCAGGCATTCTCAAAAGAATGCTGCAAGTATTG